GACCTGCAACGGGATCGCAACCCTCGGTGTTGCCCCCCGCGCCTCGCTCAGCCAGTGAGCGGGAACCGGTCTGTATGTGGGATCCGAACCCTCGGCGGGAGCGCCTCCGCGCTTCCCAAGCGGCGCACTAGTGCAGTGCGCCACCGGCCGGCCCCAAGAACAAAGTTTTTTTGTTTTCCTTTTTTAATGTAATTTAAATATTAGTTTAAATTAAAATAGTTCATTTTTTTGATAGTCGAATAGTCACTTTAATACTCTGTATGTCCACATATTCCCTAGTATATATGAGGGGGTCTTCAAAAAGCTTATGGAAAGATTTATATCATCTTTTAATTCTATTTTTCCATAAACTTTTGAAGTACCGTTGTACTTATCTGTATTATTCATCATAGTCTGTATTTGCACCTAGCTTGTAAAGGGTGGGAACCCGTTAACTTTTATCTTTTATACTCCTTTAGGCCATAACACAAATGTAGGAGCAATTGTATTCCATCCCAAATCCACTGTCTCCTTGGACCAAAAAGATGTCAACCTGGCTTCTTGTGCTGCTGATGGTTCTGTGAAGCTTTGGAGCCTTGACAGGTAAATACTATTGTTCTGAAGTTCTTATTGCCATCACTAAAGTAGGTAGTTGATTGGTTGGCCCTGAGGATCTCAGGGCTAAAAATCTGACACTCAACCCCAGAGATCTCTGAGAGTCAATGTAATTTAGTGTGAAAATATAATGGAAGATTAATTGCTTATACGCTTTCTCACCAGAGGAGTTGTGCCAGGTTTTTCTTACCTATTAACTTTGAATCTTGATTTTTGCCTCTAGCATAGTGGCCCCTGTTACCTAGCTCTAGTTATTCTGGAAAGATCCAACCTATCTCCTACTGGTAGGTTAATGTTAGAGAAATGCACTATGGTAGATTGACTTAAGATAATATTTTTGGCATCCCATCGGTTCTTAGCAAACAGCCACAGGGGAGAGGAAAATGAGGTTCTGTCTAGCAGTATTGCCAAGGAGGTAACTTCTCCTCCCAACAGTGTCATCCTTTGCCTGGAATGTATTTTCCAGCTCCAGCTGATTTATTTAAGCTGATTTATTTTAATCTTTGTGACTTGTTTTCCCCCAAAATTTTGGAAGTACCTTGTTGGCTAAAAGACATCTGAATTCACTTGCTTAGTTTTCTTTCTTTCTTTAGGAGAATACATGAAGGTTTTCATTTCAGAATTTTTAAAGAGCTAATTAGTGTTTCCACTCTTTGCTAGACAGGGTCTCATCTATGCACACTGTATGCAAGTTTTAATTGGCTTTGGTAATACTTAGCAATATTTATTCCCCTAGGACATTGGTTAGTTCTGTGTATGTACATTGACAAAGTTCCCTTTTTAATTGCCCTCTTTAGGGTTTATGTTTATTTCCTTTCTCTGGTTTCAGATCTTTTTTCTGTGGTTGCTGGGTAGCAGAATTTAATGGCTACAAAGAAGAGACTAAGCCTCTATTTAGGAGTTCTTTTTTCCATTCAGATCCTTGAACAGGCTAAAATTTGAGACAGATTTATCTGTAAATCCACTTGTACCAAAACTGTTTGATTTCCTTTGGGCCGGCCCCGTGGCGCACTGCTACAGTGCGCCACTGGGGAGCGAGGTGGCGCTCCTGCCGAGGGTTCGGATCCCACATACAGACCGGTTCCCGCTCACTGGCTGAGCGCGGTGCTGGCACAACGATCCCATTGCCGGTCCCGGTCCGGTATGGGCGCGACACTGAGGGTTGCGATCCGTTGCCGGACAGGAAAAAAGACAAAAAAAAAAAACTGTTTGATTTCCGTATCCTTACATCTCTACCAAAATGTGTTTTCTTTTTAAAATCTGGGCATTACTTTGGTGCAGAGTGACTACTTTGCTTATCAGGCAAAATTATCTTTTATTCTTCTCTAATTCTAAATGGTATAGCATTAAGAGTTTATTAACACAATGAAATGAAATAGAAAAACAATGTTTATTGAAGTGCTATGGGTACTCTTGTGCTTGTGAGCACATGAAATAGTCCCAAATCTTTTAATACCTTGGGAAGTGGCTTAAATTATTGTTAGCCCTAAAGTTTTAACAAATTACAAGTGTAGTTACAATTTAGCTCCTCAAATTATACAGAATGGGTACATCTGCACAACAATTAATAAATTCAGTGAATTTTACATGACTATAAAATAGTTTACTTAAATATGTTTGGTTCCTTTTCAGTGATGAACCTGTGGCAGATATTGAAGGCCATACAGTGCGTGTGGCTCGGGTAATGTGGCATCCATCAGGACGTTTCCTGGGCACCACCTGGTAAGCCATCCTCTTCTTTTTCTCTCTGTACAGGCCTGTGGTATCTTGTTAACCCTTTATGGCTATCTGCCAGGTAAATTTTTAGAGTATAGATCTTCAAGTTGGATTTTCTTGGGCCGTAGTGAGTCAGAATCAGAAGAGAGTGTTTAATATAGTTAGGGCTGAGTGTATTTGCCTTCTAAATTGGAGTTAATCTGAAATTTTAAAATCACAATTGCCAAAAAAGTAGAATTTTCACTCTTTCTTCTCTTTCTTATAGTTTGTCTGCCAACAAATTGGTCTCCCTTTCTGGTTCTATAATTCAGTGAGACCAGAATCTGTTAAGGAACTTTTTCATTGAAGTATAGTTTACATACAGTGTAAGGGATTTATTTAAAGTGTACAATTCAATGAGTCTCGACAAATACCACCCATGTGACCCACACCCCTGTTAATATAAAGAACATTTTCATCACCCCAGAAAGTCCCCTCATGCCTCTTCCCAGTCAACTAGCCCTTCCAAAGCAACCACTGAGCTGATTTCTGTCACCATAAATTAATTTTCTGTATTCACACCGTATGAATTCATCTGTGTCTGGCTTCTTTCACTCAGTGTAACATTTTTATTTGTTTTTGTTTGTTTGGTGTTTGCAGCTGGCTGGTAAGGGGATCAGTGAAACATTTTTAAGATTTATTCATGTTGCTGCTTGTGTCAGTGGTTCCTTTTTATTGCTGAGGAGTAGTCTGTTGTATAACTATGCCATAGTTTATTTATCCTGCTGATGGACACTTGGGCGGTTTCTAGGTTTTGCTAGTCAGAATAAGCTGCTATAAATATTGTTATACAAGGCTTTTTGCGGACATGTATTTTTCTTTCCTTTCTCTTGAACAAATACCTAAGGTACAATTGCTAGGTCATAGGATAGATACATATTTAACTCTTTTAAAACTTCCATGTGCTTTCCCAAAGTGGTTATACTATTTACATTCCCACAGTTCTTGTTTCTTCACATCCTTGCCAACATTTGGTGTTGTCAATCTTAGTATTTTGTGCAGTATAGCCAGTGCATAGTGTTATCTCATGGTTTTAATTCTTATTACCCTGACAACTATTGGCGTTGAGTACTTTATCATATTTATTGACCATTTGCATATCCTCTTTTGTGCAATGTTTAAGTCCTTTGTGCATTTTTTTTATTGTTTGTCTTTTTTTGTCTTTATTTGTATCGAAGCAGCTTTCCCTTCCTTATTGAAATTGCTTTGGCACCCTTGTTGAAAGTCATTTGACCATGTATGTGTGGGTCTATTTCTGTACTCTCTATTGTGTTCCATTGATCTGTTTGTCTATGATTGATTTTTGTATACCCAACATCCAATTTAGGGCCCAGTAAATGTATAAATTAAATGCTCGATTAATGAAGGGACATAACAATTGAATGGTGGAAGAAAGAAGGCAACAGAATCTTTGCTAAGCCATTCTTAGGGAATTCTGTTCTTAAAGTGGCCACAGGAGGTTTACAGCAAGTCCATCGTTTCCCTGTTAGCACCTAAGACACAGATATGCTTAGTTGTTGAGGCTTTGTTTATGCCAGAAAGGAATTTCTTATTAATGTGGTTGTATGGATAGTTTCAGAATCATAGATTAAGCTACAGTTATTTATAGTACCTTGTACATTGTAGAAACTGAAGAAATATCTGCTGGTTGATTGTTAATGTGATTTTATTTTAGCTATGACCGTTCATGGCGCTTATGGGATTTGGAAGCTCAAGAGGAGATTCTGCATCAGGAAGGCCACAGCATGGGTGTGTATGACATTGCCTTCCATCAAGATGGCTCTTTGGCTGGCACTGGGTAAGGCTTCTTCCACATAGCCGGGGCAGCTCAGTAGTCTCACCTATGTATGCCTCCTTTCATAAAGAACTGGATTCAGAGTATTCACTTACACATTATTTTATCAGGGGACTGGATGCATTTGGTCGAGTTTGGGACCTACGCACAGGACGTTGTATCATGTTCCTAGAAGGCCACCTGAAGGAAATCTATGGAATAAATTTCTCTCCCAATGGGTAAAATAAACTCATTGAGTGGTGCATGGAGAGGGTTCCTGGTCAGAAAGTATTCTTTGTTTCTGACTTTGCTATTATATCTGATCCACAGATACCACATTGCAACTGGCAGTGGCGACAACACCTGCAAAGTGTGGGATCTCCGGCAGCGGCGTTGCATCTACACCATCCCTGCCCATCAGAACTTAGTGACTGGTGTCAAGTTTGAGCGTGAGCTTTCCTCTTGTTTTAGGCCTAAACACCAAATAGACAGGGATTGTGCTTTCATGGAATACAGGCCAGGCTTTAGCTTAAGTTAGAAGTAGAAAGGGAGAGAAATTTGACCTGTTAATGGACCAAATTATAATTTCCTTCCCTTTGCCATACTCGTAGAGCTGTGGCAAAGCATGCTTATTGCTGCTCGATAGTAAGGAAGACTTCTGTGAATGCTTTACTTCATTTTTTTCCTCCATGAAAATTCTAAGCATTGAATCCTTAATATTATTTCAAACAGATTGTCTCTCAGGGAAAGAGCCGAAAGACCTTAATAATGTTATTTGCTCCCCTAAATCTGCCTAGGTTTTCCCCTTTTCCTAGAGATCTAGTAGGATTATATAATCAGTGTTGGGTTTTTCTTAATGTAGAAATACCCTCTTTTTTAAAATAGTATGTCTTTGCAGATTTTTGTGCTTTTGTTTTCTTACACTCTTTTGAATACTTGAATTCCTCAAGCAACTCCCCTTCTTTTCTATTGTAGCTATCCATGGGGACTTCTTGCTCACTGGTGCCTATGATAACACAGCCAAGATATGGACCCACCCAGGCTGGTCTCCACTGAAGACTCTGGCTGGCCACGAAGGCAAAGTGATGGGCCTAGACATTTCTTCCGATGGGCAGCTCATAGCCACTTGCTCATATGACAGGACCTTTAAGCTCTGGATGGCTGAATAGGCAAGACCACAGAAAAAGGACTCAAACCACAGGCTCTCCCTTAGTAGCCATTTTCCTCAAAAGAAAATAATTGATGTGTTTTGTTCTATCATGTTTCTGCCAATTATTATGTATAGACAGACCCTCAATAAAATTGGATTTCCATGACAGCCCACACTCCAGGCAGGCAGCCGGCACAGTACCTAGGTGATGGTGAACTTCTTTTTTTTTTTTTTTTTTTTTTTTTTTTTTTTTTTTTTTTTTTTTTTCCTTTTTGTCTTTTTCCGTGTCCGGCAACGGATCGCAACCCTCAGTGTCTTCCCCCGTACCAGACCGGTGACCGGCAACGGGATCGCAACCCTCGGTGTTGCTCCCGCACCTCGCCCAGCCAGTGAGCAGGAACCGGTCTGTATGTGGGATCCGAACCCTCGGCGGGAGCGCCACCACGCTTCCCAAGCGGCGCACTATAGCAGTGCGCCACCGGGCTGGCCCTGAACTTCTTTCACAGTTGAAATTTTAATTCTCATCTTCAGGCCCTGCCACGAACAGCGTAGACATCGTTTTTATTAACCTTGGTTCAAACGCCCTGTAGCCTCCCTCACAGCACTCAGGATTCTGACTGACTCCCATTTTTAATTCCTGAAACTTGACTTTCCATAACATGGTACATGCTTCAGGACTACATGTGACCCAGAGAGCAAGCTGGCTGGACTATACTCTGGAAACCCTTGAGTAGAGGCACAACTCACTGTGCATTGGTTAAATGGTGCCTGACAGCGAGCACCTTTACTCTCCCTTGAGAATGGGAGGTGAGGCAGCAGACCACAGCTATCCTGATCGTTACATATGTGGTGAAGATTTTACCTCTTCCTGCTGCGTTCACTTGGAATACTAATTGCATCAGGAAACTCAGAAATGAATATTTGCCTTGTCAGAAAATGTCTTCCAATTTACTTCGAAATTTGGCATCCTTCATGCTACCCTAAAGCAAGGCCATTGTGTCAGGATTCAAAGAAATTTTTAGAAAGCAAACGTCTCTATTATACAGCCTCCTTTGTGTTGGTTAATTAAAGGATGTACTTCATGTATTAAAGGCTACTTTATGTCAAAGTAACTGGGAAAAAGTTCTTAATGGGTATTCCTAAACATAAACCTTTTCTTTATTACACACTTGCTAAGAGTAAAAACTATCCTTTAAAGAATATTTTCTTTTTTATTTATGTGAGAATTATTTTCTATAGTTAAGCATTTTCTGAATCCCAGTCATTGGTCCGTGGAGGTCCCTTTTATTGGTTTGGGATATAACATCCCAAAAATGGATTACTCCAATTTATGTCTCCTTAATAAGCACGCTCTTAAATTTTTTAAAAATATTCCCAAGGTTGGGCCGGCCCGTGGCTCACTCGGGAGAATGTGGTGCTGATAACACCAAGGCCCCGGGTTTGGATCCCGCATAGGGATGGCCGGTTCGCTCACTGGCTGAGTGTGGTGCTGACAACACCAAGTCAAGGGTTAAGATCCCCTTACCGGTCATCTTTTAAAAAAAAAAAAAAATATTCCCAAGGTCAAGGGTTTGGATCTCTGTACTGCCCAGCTGCAAAAAATAAATAAGTAAATAATATAGAGTGCTGTTTGCATTGTGGACCAGACTACCAATGAGCTGTATCTGGGCTCTAATTTATTCATCAGTCATGCAGCAATTCCTTCACCTCTTTCCACCCATAATATACAGCCTCTGAACTCTGAAATTGCATAGTAAATTCACTCAAAGATATAGGAATTTGGGGCCGGCCCGGTGGCGCACTGGATAGTGCGCCGCTTGGGAAGCGCGGCAGCGCTCCCGCCCGAGGGTTCGGGTCCCACATACAGACCGGCTCCCGCTCACTGGCTGAGCGAGGCGCGGGGGCAACACCAAGGGTTGCAATCCCGTTGCCGGTCCCCGGTCCAGTACGGGGGCAACACTGAGGGTTGCGATCCGTTGCCGGACACGGAAAAAGACAAAAGACAAAAAAAAAAAAAGATATAGGAATTTGGAAGAGGAAAGGATTGCGTGTAGAAAATTAAAGCAGGATTTATATGGTGACCTCCCCTTTTCATTGCTGTTCCAGAGAGGTTGAGAATGCGTTTGTCTGCGTCTGTTCTGCCAACTATGAATGTGTGCTTCATAGCTAAATATACTGTCTTAAATGTGATTCCAATTATAACTAAGTAGTTGCATTTCCTATGTAATTGTTAAGCTTCTGAATTCTCAGGTCTACCACTGTTGTTTAAATATCAATGAGTTCTATTTCCTTCCTAGTTTGCCATGAAAAATTTTTTCCTTGTGCAAAATAATGAAAAACATTAGTGTATTAGCATATAATCTGGATATAGTGTACTAACAAAACGTTTTCAGATTCTCAAGTTTAAATCTTACTGTTAGTTCCATTAGACTTGTCTTTTTGTTTCTGTTTTATGGCGGTGGTTGTACAGGTTTTAGCATCCCTGACCTCTGAGCATAAATGCTCCCTAGGAGTATGGGACTGCCCCAAAGTTAGAACTACTGAAAGTAAAAATAGAAGATAGCATAATGTTAAGTGTATTTTTTCCTATCCAAAAACCTCAAAGTTAGTCTTTTCTTATCTGGATGGTGTATCAACCACTCCAAGAATATAAGATCTATTTTGACTGAAACGTCTCTGCCACTTACTAGCTGGCTGACCTTGAACAAGGTAGCTGAACTCACAGACCCTCAGTTTCTTATATAAAATGCGGATGAAGCTTACTTAACTTGGACCAGTAGGTCCTAGTGCAGAGGCAAGTTTTACTTCATGGGCTTCCGCCAGCTCCTCTCCTGTCTCCTGTCCCTCTTAGCTCAGAGAACATGCTGAGATCATTGCCTAACTTACCTGCCACAAAGTTAAAGAGCAAAGATGTGTAAGGAAATGAAGTCAGCAGGGAGTCCCAGCTGTGGTGTAATTATCTTTGATGGCGCAAACAGAGGTAGGTGCTAGTCCCCTGGTGGGATATGTAGGCAACTTTCCAATTTTGCGATGGGAGAATTTTTTCCTTCACATCGGAGCTTAAAGCTAAACATGAAATATATGTCCTGGCTATTTTGTAATATCTTGTACAGTAAGACCCCTATGGGGAATTTATAGAAGCTAGTTCTGTTAAACTCGTAATATTACTTAGAGCGAGTAAAACTGACTCAAGTTCTGACCTCTGAAAGGTTTTTCTACAAATTAAAAAAAAAAAATGTTACCTTTTCATAATCGTGATGGTGTTTTAACCACTTTGCGATTGTTTCAGAGCCCTGGGCTAACAGGCAAGATTAAAACTAGGGAAACGAATCAGGATTTTACTCACAGCAAGGTGGGCAACTTGTCAAACAGCGGCCCAATCATCCAAATTCTATCTAGTTCCCCGGTTCCTGGATTCTGTTGTGTAAAGTGAAAACCAGAGTTGCCCCTCCTCCTCCCCTCGCACCTCTTCTTGCCTGCTATGACCTGGGATGGGAGTTAAGGCTTTGTCTCTGTCCAGGGTTTCCGTTTGCCTCTTGAGGCCAGAATTACAGTGCTTGGGGGAGGGGAGTCAGAGCTCTACCCTGTATCCATTCTAATCAGGGCCTCCCCACCTACCGGGAGGAATAAAGACCTATATCTCCAAATCCCAGGTTTCTCTTAATCCACTGATCGTTGGCTTCTTTCACCATTAGACTTTTATGCTCCTAACACTCCATAAACTACACGCTGACAAGAGGTTGTCTGTCTTGTATAAGAAGCAGGTGAATGAGATGCCCTCCCTGCTGGGAAGGGCCATCTGCCATCCCTGGATAATCTTACCCTACTCTGCCCTTAGTTCTAGCACCCAGCTCAGCCCACTAAATGGTGGTAGAATGAATAAGTGAATGAATTAAATGCAGACCATTTTTGCTGCAGCCAGTGGTGAGACATCCAAAGAGAGAAAGCTGGAAAGGGAAGACAAACATATTTGCCCACAGAATTGAAATTCACTTTTCCAAATTTTTTAGCAACAACTAATAAGAGCAACTAAAAATGTGAACTGAGTTCAAAGCAGCTTTGGTGAGAAATGCAGCTTGCTATTTGGGCTAGTCAGGTTCCTGGATACCATTGTCCAGTCCTTTGGCACAACTTGCTGTGTAGCTCTGTAGTCACAGAACTGCTTCTCTGCCCTTCCATGACCCCACGGTTCATGCCCAGAGGTCTCTCCGCATCTCCCAGCCCTTCAGCTTTCTTTTTTTTCTTCTCATCATAGCAGGGCTCTCTCTGTTCCCAGAAGCAAACACATGGCCTAACTGATCCCTGGATTGTAAAATGGACAATACTATAAAGGAAAACAACATGAAATGATGCTCTGCGGTCCCCATACCCAGAACTCGCCATAGAAAGCTTCCTTATCCAGGAACAGCATGCTCAAACCACACCCCAAAGGAACTGCTTGGTCCAAAAGATGGAGAAGATGAGCAACAGAATGACACTGAGGATGACAGCCATCAGGTAGGCAAAGATCCGGAACTGAGGGTTGCGGAAACATTCCCTCAGAGAGTAGTGGCTGGGGATGGGGATGGGCATAGGCACAGTGGCAGAGGACATGTCCTGGGGAGGCCCAGTCTGGCTCCCAGGCTCGGGGCCTAGGTCCAGCGTGTAGACCTGAGGCTGGCGCAGTAAGTAGCGGCTGTTGGGCTGGTCCTTGAGACAGAGCTGATGGCCTTCCAGGATGACATGGTGCGGCTCCAGGTGGAGCAGGGTAAGCATGGCAGTGTCCGTGGGCAAGTCGGTGACGGGCTGCCCGGAGGCCAGTACAGTGGGCTGGCGACAGAGTGGGCACAGCAAGTGGCGCCGGGCAGGAGTCACCAGGCTGAGGTGGGCCAGGCATTCCAGGCAGAAGGAGTGACAGCAGTCCAGCACTTTGGGGGTATGGAACGTGTTGTTGAAGGGGTTCCAGCAGACAGGGCACTCAGTCTCAAGCTCCCGGCCCTGCTGCTGGGCCATCCTCCGACCACAGGCCGGGAGGCCTCACAGGAGACTCCTGGAAGAAAGAGGAAAGGAGCAAAGGAGCACCCATTAAGCTCTGTCCCTGCACTTGGACTTAGGTATTATCACCAACATTTACAGTGAAGAAACTTAGATTCAAAAGCTTTTGTTCCAGATCACCCGGATCCTAAGCCATCAAGTGAAGTCTAATGCTTCCGCAGCCTCCCCTCTATCAGGCTGAAGGCCTGAGCTACCCCCACCAACAGCGCCTGAATGAGATGGCTTTGGAGGAAACTGCACCCTGGGCTTTGGAGAAGGGCGAAAATGCTCCTTAGGCTCAATATGTTTGCCCTTGTCTGCCCTGAATGCAGGGGAAGGGAGAGTGAGCCACAGCCAGTGGTTTTTGCTAGGCAACAGATATTTCCTTCCCTGCTACCACAAATCCCTGACTAATGCAAAGATGGGCTTTGTGAATTCCCTGGTCTGTCCCTCCTCTGGGGACAAGTGCCAGTCCCTCTTTCCCTCCTCCCCTTGATCTGGCCAACCCTCCATAGCCCTTTTGCACAGGCCTCGGGCTGGCAAGGGAGCCCTTGGTAAAGCTTTTCTCCTTGACCTGGAAGCCTAGGAGAGGTCCCCTTGCCCAGGTTCCCCGAACAGCCCTTCCACAGCCTCTTCCCAGTACTCAGCCTTCCCTAGTTCCTCCTCCCTCCCTTTGTCCCGGGGAAACTTCAGGGCACCCACCTGGGCTTCCGTGAGCTCTAGGGTGGTCAGGCAGATTACTCTGAAGGGCATGAGGCTCCAGTCTCTCCTTCTCCTGAATCCACAAAGCTTTGGGAGACTGCTTTCTTGCCACCAACCCTAGAGCCTGTCTCCATGGCAGCACACACGCAGCACCTGGAGCTGCGAGGTGGCCCAGGCTGCAGCCTCTTGAGTGCACCTGCCTGGAGCCAAGGCCAGAGAGCTGCCTGGGTGGTGGGGTGGAGAGGTGGGGATCTAAGCTCTCCCCTCACTCCCTCTCCCGAGACATGGCAACCAATCAAACCTGGAAGCCAAGTATCTGCAAGATTGTAGGCAGTCCCTTGAAGACCTGGAATCCCTGCCTTGGAAAAGTAGGGGTGGCAATTTCCTCTTTCTAGGTGTGAAGAGAGTGAGTCTTCTGGGCTTCCTCTTACCTCAGCCCTCATTTTTTTTCTAAAATGGTTGGAACCTCCACCTCACACAAAGGGGTTGCCTGCCCCGCACTTCAATTGCTGTGAATCACCTACTTCACAGCCTAAAAATGCTCAATATCAGATTCAGCAAGCCCTCTTCTGTCCCCTTTTGATTTTTTTTGTGGGGGGAGGGAACTAAAAAGGACTTTATTTATCAAGGGCAGGAAGATGCAAACAATATAAAAATCAAAAGCTTATCTGGCATTTAACTAACTTTTCTTTCTCTGCTTGTTAAATGGGAGTTGGATTTTATTTGTATATTTTCTAAGGGTCCTGATCTGCCCGTGAAATCCTTATGCAGGGGGAGGTGTGGGCAGATTCCTTAAGCAGCCCTTTGAGAGGACTCCTGTCAGGGCGGGAGTCATTGCTCGATTCTGCCTACTTCTTTCCCTTCTGCTTCATGTATACTACAAAATAGTTGTTGCACACAATGGTGAGGCCTGCAATTAGTGAAAAGAAATTCTGGAAGCCCACTTTGCCATCTTGGCACTGGTCCAGGTCCTTCATTATTTTGTCCACTGCCAGAGGGTCTTTTTGATTTTCCAAAAATCCAGGGAACTCCTTTTCCATGAGTACTCTCAGATCCTCCTTTGTTAAGTAACCTTTATCCCCGGCAAATTTATGAAATGTAAACATCATGGTTTCCATGACATATTGCATTTGAGAGGGCAGTTTGATGAAGTCTTGGCTAAAGGTGCGGCAGGGACACAGCATGAGCTGGACTCAGGGTGAGCTGGACGCAGGAAGATCCGGACGAGCCGGATGCAGGGCGGTGACCCCTTTTGATCTTTTAATGTGCCCAAGTAGCTGCAACCAGAGTGTGCAAACCTTGTTGCCTTCTGCTTTGTTCTTAGAACATAGACGGCTGAGATCTTAGAGTCTGAGAGCTGGCCACCCCACTAACATTGGAGACTCAAATGGGAGAACTGGGGGGGAGGAGTGCTTCCATCCTGCTTCCCTATCTCAACCAGAAACACTTGGCCTTTATGTGTTTCTCATATCAGCCATCTGAATAATTTAAAGAGTTGAGCTGCTGGGGAGTAAATGTTTAAAAATGAGTTCTCATACTGTACCCTGCAAATATGTACAAGTAAATGTTAAAATATTTTGAATTAAAAAAAAAATCTCCATCCTAACCACTCACTTTACAGATGGGAGACAAAGAAGTGACTCACCCAAAGTCATGCAGCTAGTTAATGGTGCCACTGGGACCCATGGTTGGGACTATCAGTTCACCACTATGCTGATGTCATTGAGACAGAATGCTGCACCCATTTGATCCACCTGCTGGATGCCTGTTATTAGCTAGATAGTAAGTGTTTGTGTTTTATCAGGAGATTCCTCATAGCCATAAGACTCTCGTGGTAGGAGAGCAGGAACTGTGCAAGGGGGTTTTGGGGGCAGTGAATCTCCCTTGGGCCCCTGATATGACATCATCTACCCTGACCAGTTGACACCTGAAGCAAAATCTGCTTACGCTCTCTCACCCATGCCTTCCTGGTTTTTGTCTAGACCTCTGTCACTGCTCCGAACAGGGAAGAAGGAAATGAAGATATGCTGAGGTAGGCATCCGTAATTAACAACAATTTATTGTATGTTCTCAACTGACTAGAAGAGAGGAGCTTGAATGCCCTCATCAAAGGAAATGATAAATTTGGGGGATGATGAATATGCTAACTACCCTGATTTGATCATCAAACATTGTGTACATGTATTGAAATATAACTCTGTACCCCATAAATGTGTACAATCAATACAGTTCAATTAAATAAATAAATAAGAAAGAAAGAGAATAAAAAAGATGTAGAGGGAGATGGAACAGCCCTAACCAAAGCTAGGATAGTTTACCAAGGATTCATAACAATGCCTGATTCTGTGGAGCATTCATTCATTCAATAGTTATTGATGCTCATATATGCTATGTGCTGTGCTAGGCATTAGCACAGCACATAGCATATAATGGTGAACAGTATAGACGTCATCTCTAACCTTAGGACTTTTAGAGTCTCCTGAGGCAAAGAGACATTTAATGAGTAATGGGCTATAAACAAATACATAATTTTAGTGAATGCTTTAAAGGACAAAAAAGACAATGAGCTTGGGGGACTGGCTGCTTCTGATGGGACCACCAGGGGAGGTTTCTCCAAAGAGGAGAAAGCTAAGACTGAGGGATGAGAAGAACTCAGCTGTGCAGAGTGGAGGAAGAGTATTCCAGCCCCAGAGAACGCACATGTCAAAGCCCTGAGGAGAGAAAAGGCTCTGCCAACTTGAGGAAGTGAGAGGAGGTTAACCAAGGTGTGGTAGGTGGAGCTGGGGTGGGCACGTGGCTGGCTCAGGATGAAGCCAGAGGGGTAGGAGGCAAAACCCATAGGCTCAGGAACTCATCTGGATTTTATCCTAGGGGTAAGTGGGGAGGGGTGGGGTGACCTGATCCTATTTTCAAAAACACCATCCTAGCTGCAGAGCAGAGGACAGACTGAGATGGACAAGAGGGGAAATAGAAGACCAGTTAGGAGCTCTAGCAGTGTGTGGTCCAAGCATGGGATAGTGCTGTTTGATGTGGGTTAGGCAGTGGTGGAGAAGATAAAAGGGGATGGGGTAAAAGATATCTTTGGAGACAGAATTAAAACCACTTCTCAAGAAGGAGTGGGGGGCCGAGCCCATGGCGCACTCGGGAGAGTGCGGCACTGGGAGCGCAGCGGCGCTCCCGCCGCGGGTTCAGATCCTGTATAGGGATGGCCGGTGCGCTCACTAGCCGAGCATGGTACAGCTGGTCTCAAAAAGGACAAAAAAAAAAGGAGGAGTGGGAACCAGACTATAAATTCTGGAACCAGGTTTTAGAAGCTCATGACCCCAGATCCATTGCTTATTAGGGCTGTGATTCCAGTTGAATCACTTAACCTCTCTGTGCCTCAATTTCCCCTTGTGAAAGGGAAGCTAAAAATAGTAAAGCTTTTAGATAAAGCTCAGCACCCCAGTAAAGACTATGTATGAGGCTGTTGGCATTATTACTGCAAACGGATTTGAGAAAGAGGAAGGGTCAAAGTTGACTTCAAGACCATGAAAAAGTTTTCTGCATCAAGTTTTGAGGAGCCCCTGAATTCCAGAGTGTGTCAGAAGCAGACTTTTAATACTTATCAAAAGCCTTAAAATGTATATAGCCTTGACTCAGCAGTTCCCTCACTGGGAATCTATCCCATGGAAATAACCAAGGACCTGTGCAAAGGTTTGATTACAGAGATACCAGTCAAAGCACTGGTCTGATTGTGAAGTATGGCGAACTACCTCAAGATCCAATAACAGGACACTGATTAACTAAATTCTGCTCCATCCATTTGAAGAGACATTCTGCAGACTTTGAAGTGATGTGATAAAACATCTATTAATATGGAAATGTGTCTATGATATAATATCATTACGTGAAAAACAACCAGTAGTAAAACCATATTACAGTATAATTCGATTTTCAAAAATATGTGTGCGATGGAAAAAATATCTGGAAAGATAAGCAACCAAATGTCAACAGCGGTTATCTTTGGGGGAAAGATTATAAAGTTTTTAAAAAATTTTTCTTACCTGAAAATTCTAACTTTACATCAGTGAGCTTGTATTACTACCCTTAAAGATCTTCCCTTCCCCCCAAATCAGACCTACATTCTCTGGAGTTCCATGGCCAAGGCTATGAAAGGCTGTTCAGGAGGAGGGATGGCCACTGTTACCTGGACCTTACCTGTGGTGTTCCCCTCAGACACCCACTGTTGTTTCAGGGTCAGCTGGTCAGAGGCCAGTCTCTCCAGGAGAGATTCA